TGTGTGTGTGCGTGCGTGTGTCTCTGTCTGTCTGCCTGTCCGACTTAGACTGCTCTGCCAGAGAATGGCACTCTGCCCCTCCAAATGTACCCATGCCTGGCAAATCTGTCTGCACTGTGACATGCCCATCCAGGCACGAGCATCCTGCTGATCTACCTTACATCCCGACCCACGGAATACACGTAGATGGATGATCACAGAGACACTGACAGACGAGACAGACAAGACAGACAGGCAGGCAGGCAGACAGACAGGACAGGACAGACAAACAGACCGGACGACAGGACAGCCGGCCAGACAGACAGACAGCCCGCCAGCCAGCCAGGCAGCCAAGACAGACAGGACAGACGGGACAGACAGACCGACAGACCGATCAATCGACGGACGGACGGGCAGACAGACAGACAGACAGACAGACCGGAGGCAGACAGTGTCTGTGAATCTGTGAAGCATATAAACACAGAAGTCAACAAAGAAATCAACATAAGATCGACGCAACGAGGACAGCAAGATGAGTATGGAGGCAAACAAACTGTAGTTAGTTGCAAGCCACTCAGTCTACTTAGCTAACTAACTAGCTAAATAGGGCTGTAGCTAGCAATCACTCAATTGCGCATCAACAACGCCAACTATCCTTCAAACAGATAGCAATCTGACACTAGCTGACTGACCTATCGATGCTCGCTTACATATCGGACATCGCGCAAGTTGATTTGTTCGCATGATCAAGTCATTGTCCTCTTGACGAACACGTTCAAACACAGCACTCAGGAAATTATAAAGGAAATCGTTCACGCGGTGCTTGAAAGAGTAAGGCACAGCCGCTGTCACCAAGTCTCTGACTGGAACCGTGGCTGCTGGTTGACAAACTGGCCAAAATCCTCACAACAGTTTTAAGACTCGGACTTGGCAACGACCCGGGTTTGCTGATTGTTCCGGGTCAGCAGGGTTTCTGTGCTACGGTTCACAACCCTGTCATCGGGGGTTTGGAACCCTGATGCTGTCGAGCTGTTGGTGGTCTTCATCAACTGACTCACTTCACATTCCCCGAAGCAAGTCGAACTTTTGCTGTCTCCTGTCGCACAGACCAAAATTCGAACCCTTCTGCCCTGCAAGCACCCTCCTCGTACTTCTTGCGAATCTTAGCCACGACGTCGGGTGGAGCCTTGCTGTTTCGGGGGCTCTGTGCTTACCGAACTTTTTGCAGGAAGGACTGGTTTGAGCACACGGCGACTTTTACGCCCTTGATCGCCATGCCGTCGCCTGAGCCACTGAGCTCTCTGCCAAGATCCTACGAGTACCCGTCTGCTGCGCCCCAGCTGGACGGCTCGGCCTCGTTCCAGCTTGTACCATTGCCTGTACTGGTCGAAGACCTCCTTCCCGAGCTTCCTGAGCTCCAGTGGGAGAACCACACGTACCACACCCCGAGACGAAGGCATTTTGGGACTGTGCCTCTTCTCGTCTTCCCTCAGTAGCTGCCGCAGCTCCTGATCCGCGAAGAGACAGGACCTAAGTGCACCCCCAAACAGCATCGCGGATTGCTGACCTCCCTGCGCCACCGCCCGACGGCAAATGGTTGAACATGGTTGAACATGAGGATGGCCAGGGTTGGGCACCAGCGATACACAAGGAGACAAGCAATACTAGCGACTCACGTATACACTTGAGCGTACATGGTCCCTACTTGCCCGTGTCCGGAGCCGGGTCTGCTTTGAGAGCAGCCGTGACGACTGCGACTTTGTGAGCCTCTTGCCAGACTCAGAGAGGCCCGGGCGTTTTCATGGCCAGTCGGATCACTGCAGAGAGGCGAGCAACCTGATAGGGTCAACTGGGAGGGTACTACAAAGGTCATGCAGCTAATGAGGATGATGGCAGCGATGACTCCGACGATGACCAGGTGGCAATGGTCGCTGCAAGCTATCATCGTCGCACCAAGATCTTAAACGCTACATGAGTAAACATCATAAGATCAATCATGGTCTTCATAATAGCTTTGATGCGAACTGCTATGATGGTGGCGGTGGTGGTGGTGGAAGTAGAACTCAACAAAAAGCGTGTTGGTTTGCGTTGGCTGTGCTGGTGATGGTGGTGGCGCTGCTAGCGATGTAACAAAAGATTCTGGGGTGTCGGCACAAAGAAACCAGATTCCAAGTCAAGGTTCTGGGTTTGTAGGATTTTGTAGGTTTAGGTAACCGAGTTAACCGAGTGATGAAAAGTTACGTAGCCCTGAAGATTCAGTCTGAGATTGTCTTCCCTGAACAGCTGTGGAAAGTAGTCGGCTGACAGAACCCATCTGCTTATGTCTTCACGGACCTAGAACTGCTTTTGCAAATCCTGCTCACCTGGGCCTGCAGAACCTCACTCAGCCCAAGCTTTACATGTGCATTTCTATACTTCGGGAATATGCAGATCAAACTCTCAATATCACGTACCGCTCGACAAACATTGCACCTAGTGTCGCGTGTTACTGTACCGTACACGCCGTGAAATGCATGCCTGGGAGTTGTTAGGTGCCGTTGATGATGCAGTTGTACTTCTATGAGGAACAAGAAGGAACATGTAGCAGTGTAGCATCGTGTAGCCACATGACAAGAGTTCCGGGAATCAGGCCCAGTTCACACGGGAGATTTCAACGCCTCGAGTGAGCACCAAGGAATGTCGGGTCATCTCTATAGGGCCTTTAGGGCATTGGTCGTGCCGGTATTACCACTGATCCGGGCAAGTGCCCTGCAGACTCGAGCAGTCGTCTGGCTGCAGTGCACCGAGGTCGATGCGGGAGGTCATGTTAGGCTTCCACTGGTACCTGACCGCTGTGCGCCCCGGGGATCCCTGGTTTGATGCGCCACCATGCGCCACGGTTGCTCGGGCTGCTCTTGCAAGGAGAGCAGTCAGCCGAATGGTCTGTGAACGGAAAACCTGGAGCACTCGAAATGGAAAATGCCGGCCTTTGCTTCAGCTTCTTCAAAACCTCCGTCACGCCTCAGGCAAAGGGCATAAACTGGCATAAAAGCAACAAGGAACCAGGCAAGCAGCCTCTCATCGATCATTGTCAACATCATCGCATATTATCGCCATCATCATACGAATCATTACCACCGCATTGCTATCTTTTCACCTTCACTTCACCGTCGTCGCGATTCGGCTCGCTATTCGTCGCTCATTTTGACTTTGAGGCCCTGGCCCTGGCGGACGCCGGCAAGGTCTTTGGTCTCCAAGCTGACAAAAAGGGGGGGGGCGGTCGGCTTTCTTCGGGGCCCTTTCGGGCAGAGGCGCGCTGCTCATCGTTTTCCTCCTTCCTCTCCCGGCCCGGGCCTCATCCCGCTCTCCGTCTGCAAGTCCCTGACCTGCTTGCCTGGCGGCGACACAAAGGAGCTGGCAACAGAGGATCCACGAGACTGCCTCCCACCAGGAGATCTTCCTCCAGGAGGTAGGGCCTTTGAGTTAAGAAGGCAAGGCGGCGCGGCTCGCTCTATGACGCTTCGTGACTTTCTGCGATTTGGCTCGGCTCCGGCCTGAGCCGGTCTCTGAAGTTGAGATAGGCGCGGATCTGCCGGCCTATCTGGGGATGCTTCTTCTGCTGTGGGAATGTATGTGCAAAGCGGGGGGGGATGCGCCGTGCAGCATGCCATTGGCAGTCTTTAAAGCTGAACAGCATAGGCGAGGCCGGCTAAGTGTGAGGTCTGTAAAGCGCAGCAGTGGATTCCTCGCAACTCTGAGGTTTCAGCTGCACTCCTCCGGCGCCCTCACCTGAAGGCGCCAAGGCCACGGAAAGGTCTGTACCGCCAGGCACCTAGTCAAAGAACCAACAACCTTCATCGACAGCCCGCTCCACTTGATCTCGATGTCCCGCTCGATGCTGAGCATGATCTGGCCAGTGCGGTCACGGGAAGCGTACGGGAAGCGGGTTGAGGAAGCTGTGCCTGGAGCTGCCGCTGTATGGTGAGCGTGTGCAGCTGCATCAGATGCTCCTCCGAGGCTCTCAACTCGGGACCCGTCTCACCTCAAGTGCAGAAATCGCGCCCCCTAAAGCTTCGGGATGCAGAAATGCCGCTCCTGCAATGGTACAATCCGCCACTCCTGCGGCTGGCAGAGCACTCAAGGCCGGGGAGCTCCACAGCAACGGCCCTGCTAATGACTGTTGTTAGTCGTGTCAATTCCAGAGGCTAGTCTACAGATCAAAGCTCAGCGCGAGGGCCTAGATCAAGTTCACATGCTCACTTGCGCTTGCCCCAACTGCCGGGACTGAGGCATCCACCGTGCCCAGGCGGTTCAAGGAATCCTTAGCGGCCCACAGCAGGTTGATAAGGCGTCGAAGGTTGTGGCTGTCGGGAAAATCTGGATGCTCGAATGTCGCTTTTTTCCCCCAGCCGTTGCCCTGGACATAGAGGCCCTTGGGGCCATTTCGGGGCTCAGGGCCGTGGAAAATGGAACGGCCGATGCTGGCAAACCTCGGAGCATCTCGGTGTGGCTCACTGGCTCACTTCGACAAGATGCGTCAGAACAGGCACTCAAGCTGACCGAGTAGTTGCAGAGGAATCACTCTCGCATCAACCAAGTCACGTTCGCGAACGCTGCAAGGTTCGATCAGTTCCGGCCACGCCTGCGGAGCTTTGCCAGTCCCACTTTCAGGAAATCCGGGTAATGTGTGCATGCTTTTATGCGCCGACGATGCCTGCAGAAGAGCCTGGCGTGGCCACCCGCGAGTCCACGGAAAAGCTCTTCGGAGTGCCCTGTCGGCTGAAGCTCGCAGCCGGAAGTTGCGGGAGGGAAGGGCTGCCTGGCAAAGCTTGTCGTTCCCCACCCTCGCATCCTACCGGATTCCATGCAGCTCTCGCAGGAGACAAGCCCACGCACACCCTTGAGCCTGCAAGGCTGGCAAGCGTCTTCTGCATTAGCACGCCGTCCAGTGCATCCGCCGGCACTGGCGCTTGTGGCGCTTGCTCAGGATGGCTGACGTGCCTCGTGGCGCATTCTTGGTTCCGTAGATCTGAATCTGAACAAAAGCTTGATGGCTGTGCCTGTGCCTTTTGCGGCCAGTTTTCCGGCTTCCCGCAAGAGTCCACCCCCGGGCCCCATCGAATCAAATAGCGCTTGAGACTTGAAACATGTCACCCAATCGGAATATGAGCATGCTCAACTCTTCTGGTCAGCCACGGAAAGATGAAGACTGAAAACAATAATAGTAACTCACGTCGCTACCCGAGCGGACCCAGGAAAACAACGACTATATTCAATAGACACAAAAAAGGGGCCTCGAAAACTTAGAACAGGGTTGCAGGGTGGATTGCTGTTACGTATGGTTATATAACGACTATGAGGGAATGCGATTACAAATTACTTAATCAGACCGCTGTACTAGGAGATCTCCTTCTCGAACCCGGAATAGAAACTTTCTGTCGTGTTTCCTTTCTGCCCGGCTGTCGGTGCAGGGAGCCAAGCTCGAACCTCGGGTGTTAGCATCCATCGTTGTTGTCAACTTCACAAGTCTTCGGATGTCATGACATCGCTCACTGTAGGATCTTTAGGCATAGTGTGACGACCTGAAAAATGAGCAGGCCGAGGAATAGAATGAGCAATGCGGACGGAAGATGAAGAGAACAAAGCAAGGAAGGCGCACAACAGCACTTGCAGCTATTGAAGCTATTGGTGCCCCACAAGCTCGCCAGCACAAACTTTGCCTGTTCGTTCCTCAACCCAAGTCGCCCGAGAGACAGCCGTTGGGTTGCTCGGTCGATGCAGCAGCAGCCTGACAAACATCAACTTCAGGTGCTTCTATCTTTTGGGACTTGAAGCTCTTGAAAGGGTGTTCTATCCCAGGGCTTCCGTAGGCCTTTCGGGTTTCTGGGTTTCGGGTGTCAAGCACTGGCGTTTGGCTGACGGAAGTAGGGCGGAGAGCTTGTTTTGTCTGGAATTCTTTCGCTTCGACACGCATAGTGGGACAGGCTGAAACCCGACTTCAGCACAGCACTCGAAACTAGGGTTCATGGGCCACGACAGCATCACATTCCCCAGACTTCAGTGTACAATGGATTTCAACTTCACAAACAAAATCGTGGAGAGTCACAGCCTCCGTTCGCTTCGTTGTGATCTGACATGACAAGCCTACAAGCACCCTATTGTGCACAAGTCATTTGCCCTGGATCATGCCCATACGCCCAAAGTCATTCTGAGCATGTGACATGGACACATTCACCAGTCGAGCCTAGTTGTAGGATTTCGGCAAAACTCCAAAACAGTGTATCAGGATCCCAGCCTGCTCCGGCTTTCCGAAGCGGAAGCTTCCCCTGGCGGCCGGTCTCTGGCGCATAGAGACAAGATGTGCTGTAGTGCCGGTAGTGCTGCACTAGTGTGTATTTGTGCTCTAGCAAATACCCCTGCAGTGCTAGCTTACTGGACAGCTAATGGGCGTGTAGTTCCCTGGCATTCAAAGCATAATTTTATGCCATCCTATTGCTCTGCTAGCTAGCACATCTGCACATTTACATGTTCAGGAGGGCATTCGCCCAAAAGCACTTGTGATTCTGTGACAACATGATTACATGGCCACATCAACAAATCAACTTTACGAGCACGACTGTACTACTCTTACCTTCTCTATGGCTACACGCTCGCTCCACGATGCCTCGAGGCATGCAACATGCTGGCCTCATGTCCAACAGTTGCAGCAGGGCATCGTCAGTAGCGGCTTCGTCGCTGGCGACTTCCTACCAAAGCATCGGCATGGAGGAGTGCACAAGAGAACTTGTGCTGCAGGCTCTGCTTGAGTTCAGGATCACTCTCGGGCTCCACTGACTCAGGTCCTCTCCCACGTTCTGTCGAGGCTGGCGCCTGCGTCACTGAGCTTGCGCGCTACAGACCTTACTGGGCCTAGGATGGCGTAGATCGAGCTTAGAAAGGTTGTCAAGGGTGCCGTGTGTTTTGCCCGTGCGTTTCGGATAGTGCAAGTACGGAAACAAGCTTGCAGCTTTGCGTGTCGGCCTAAGCACGAATTGCACGTGCTTCGAGCACGGCCTGTCATGTAAATGCCAGGAGAACTTCGCCAGGCCTGGCGGCGGCCCGGCCTTCGCCGCGATCTGGGGAGGCCTCGCGCACGCTTGACCCCGACATGTCCCGACTTTGAGCCCTTAGCGGCAGACGACGACTCGGCTCTGATAGAAACCATGGGCCATTCTAAACGAGTAGTAAAAGAGAGCGCGCTGTCGCACAGCGGCTGTCTCTCCTGACCCCGAGGCCGGCTCTTTAGCCGACCATTCGGCACGGTTTTTGCAGAGGAGCCGAGAGCCGCCAAAGGATCTGTTTTGTGCTCTCGCGGGGATTCTTTGGGAGAGGTGCAGATCGATTCTGAGTCGCAAGTGCGACCATTCTGATACATCAGATCTCTTTCGTGGCTGCGAGTGAGTGAAGGTGAAGACAACTCGCCTCGGCGCCCTCTGCCAGCTGGTTGTGGTCTTCCAGCGACAGGGACATGGAGGAGGCTGTGCCTGGCGAGTGCTTGGTGAAACGAGAAGAGGAGCAGCCATCGCAGCACCAGGAGGCGGAGGCGAAAGCTTGAGCGACGGCACAGGAGCAAGGAAGCAGGAAGAGAGCTAGAGATATTGACAGACGAGGACTGGACGATGTCGATGACGATGACGGGAGTTCGAAGCAAGCATTAGACCATCTGAATAAATATGAGCTTTCACTCGGGAGCCCAAGGCTGCAACGTGTCCGGAGGCATTTTACCGGCTTCTGACGGAGACCGCACGCTGCGCAGGCCGGTGCCTTCGGGACTCGAGTCATTGCACGTCGTCGCAGAGGACCTCGGGTGAGCCGATGCAACTGCCCTTCGGCGTGGTAACGGCTTCGGACGGTCGCGGGCACTTCTGGCACTTCTGCAATGCCACGGTGCACTGGTGCCATCCGAGCAGCTGCTCGAAACCCTCCTGAGTCGTGAGGTTGCCATTGTGAGGTTTACCAGTTCATGGCAAGGGTGCAAGGAACACTTTGTCAACGGCCGTGTGCGCATTGTCGATTCATTCTGGAACACACATACTCCGCTGCTTTTCTAGCGTTGCTTCACAGCCCCCTGGCAAGAGCCTTTGACATGTCTTGGCCCAACACTCGAACCCAGCCAGGCCTTCCCTGTAGGCAAGCTCGTGGGCTGCCGAAGGGGTGTGATGCTAGGAGTCCTGAGTTACTGAAGATTATAATAGATTAAAACGAAAAGTAGAACAAAAATAGATGTCATACTTTTCTATGTGAATATAATATGCTATAACGTGGTATAACATAATGGAATCAAACACAACGTACTGTATACGACCTGTTAACATGTGCATACATAATACAATGTAGCGTAATACACGGTGGTAAGACCTGAGGTCAAAGTCTGTGATAGTCACACAGCGATGAAACCCTGATGCACTGGTGCACAACGTACAGCAGGAGGAACAGCTGCAGCGATCACTACACTGGAATCCTCAACTTGCACCGCTAGGAAAGAAGGATAAGGATTATCATCAGCATAACCATCATCAACACCCCCATCACCACTCCTATATACTTTCAGTGCCCAGGATTCTGAGGGATAGTGCGGATGTATTTCAACACGTTGCTACGAAGCTGGAGTCTCCGATTACTCAGCAGTTTTTGGGCTTTGCCTGGGGCAATAACCAGTTCCAACTGGGGCCTAACTAGGGTCCTTTGGTCTCCTACAGGCTGCAAGTACAATCCAAACTCTCAAGTCCCAGAGAACCGAAAGGTGCCTTGCACATATAGCATTGGAGTGTTTCATGTGATCTTAGCACTATAGAACGGACTGCTACGATCCGCCTTAGTACTTCTTCTCAGCGGTGCCTTCTGCATTGCAGCGGTGTTCGGGGCTCCGGCCAGGATTTGCTCCCGGCGCTACTCTCGAAGGCACTGAGGTTGGAAATCTCGGTGAGGGCCTTCTGGGAACAAGACAGCTATGAGGAAGCACACCCAGGTGGGTTCCAAGCAGAACAGAGACACACCGAAACTGATCAAACGGGTTCTTGCAAATCTCGGTGCTCGGCCACAACCCCAACCGTTCCAGGTCCAAGACAGAGCTCTGATTCTAAGTGGAATAAGGCGTCAACCTCGTCCTCGTAGCGCTCGCAGTAGCAGGAGCAACATTAGTCATTAGTAGCAGTAGTAGCAAAAGGAGCAGTAGCAGTACTAGTGCGAGGAGCGCTCGTCGTCGCCTAGAAAGGAACACAAGAAGCACCTCCGTCAGCGTGAACTGCAGGTCCATGTCGGTCGGCATTACCGAAGCCGGGGCTAAGACAGAGTCATCGGGGCAAAGCTGGCTTAAAGGGGTCAAAGGCTCTGGGGGTGTGGCGCCCTGATATGCCCTGGCATGGGATGCTTTCTCTATGCCGGGTCTATTTGGGTCTTGAGCCCAAGAACATCAACGTGGCCGGACGTCGAGAAGCTGCGCACCTGCCTGAAGCTCCCCTGCGGCCCATCTCGGGCCAGGGCCACCTTGCAGACCCGCAAGTCTTTGAAGTCCTTGTTCAGCGCCTGATTGCCCTGGGCGGGGTAGATTCTGTTAACTGATTTCCCGAAACCCGAAACTTCCCTAAACCATCCTAGAACCACCCTAAACCCCTGTGCCCGTACCTTAAAGGCCCTAAAGTTTCTAAAGGCCCCCTGGAATGGTACTAAAGGGGGGAGCGGATTCAAGGCTCCCGGCCAGCTCCACCGCGTGCGTGAGGGTCAGCCGGCAGGTCACCTAGCAAAGGGCTATTTTTTTTCGCATCTTGGCCCCTTCAAAGGCTGGGCCGTCTGAGGTTTAGGCCTTTTCAGGGTTTACTAGGGTCTTAGTAGGGTCTCAAAAAATGGCAGAGCTTGGCGGTACCTCGCAGGCTCGGTCGAAGGAGGCGAGCTTCCTGGGCTTTGGGCGGCTCTTGGGTCCCTTTTTTTGTCCCTTTGTGGCCCAGGGCCCTGGGCTTTGGGTTGTTTGCGGATAGGACAGGAGCCTGTCTTCCACCTCCAGTATCGTTGAGCCTCAAAGGTGCTGTCCGAGATGGACTGATCTTCATGCTATCTTGCCACATCTTGCCACCACCTGCTGTCTTGCATCGTTCCGTCCAATGCCCATACGTGCCAAAATTGTATATCATCAAACAATACCTAACTGCCCTCAAAAGACGAATGGCGATGGTGTGCCAAACTCTCCAAGCTGTATAACCCAAGCCAATGAATCGCAAGTCCTGCCTAGCCTGACGGCGCAATTTAGAAAGCTCTGTAGCCTCAAGCCACAAAGAGTCCAGAAACTTGATGTGCTAGGAAGGGCCCGGTAGTTGAACAGGATAATAGGACATTCACTTTCCTACACCACCTCCACTCGAGCCCATGGTCTTCCAGGAACCAAAGCTTCATAATGTCCTATGTTTTCCTTGAGAGAAAAATCTTGTCCCAGCCATGTACTCGAGTTGTAGTGTGGCGCCGTGCCCCTATCCATATGCTTTCAGCGATGAAACCTGACATCTGTCAACATCGAATTCCCAACGATATGCCACATTCGCAGAAACATGGCTCTGCTAACAAAGACGCTCGTCCTAACCCGATGACAGGTTCCAACGTCTCAACATCGGCAACCTGCAATCATAGCCAAAAACATGCACTCTGGCCCCGGCTTCATGTCCTCGATGAACTCACCCTTGCTCGCCCACCTGGAGGCTCCCCGATTGCACACAGCATTGAAACCTCCAGCACCCGCATCCAAAAAACAGCCGGATCTTCCCGACACCTCTTGATTCTCGGTGTCTCAGGCCAAGTGCCCTGCAGCTCTTTCAGTAGCTCAGCCATCTCGTTGAGGTGGGCCTGAAGTGTCTCCGACACCGCACAGGTCTGACCAGGGTGAACGAAGGGCAGGAAGGCTACCACCTAGCGGACCTAGTCAGTATGTGACGAACGCCACAAAGTCGTCTTCCACTCCAAATGCCACGGACCCCACCCCTGCCACTATTGCTACCACCACCACCACCACCACCACCACCACCACTGCCTGCGACACCGCACAACCCCACCCCAACCACCCCCGGGCGGCACACCCAATCCAAACGACAAGTCGGCTGAGCTCGCGGCCAGCGAAGCCACTCGCAAGGACAGCGGAAGCTGGCGCAAAAACCACACGGAGTGGTTGCTGGGGATTATGGGGCTTGTGCTTAAGGATATTGATTCTGGCTATTGGCTTCTGCGAGCTCTGGCTCAGCGAAGCTGAAGCCCAGTTGCCCGAGGAGTTCATGGCCAGAGGGCTGGGGGATGGACATCCGCAAAGATCTCCTCGAACTTGGATGTCAGATCGTCCTTCACGACTTCACGCTGGCTTGATGTGAGGCCACGCTTTGGTTCTGGGGATGTCCTCCTCCATGGGGAATTCTGCATGCTGCATCATGCCGCTCAGCGATGAGATCAAGCGCTTCTGCACCTCCAAACGAGGCGAGGCGAGACGAACAAAGAGGACACACGCCCCCAAAAAAGCCCCCAAGCAGAGAGGCGAGCGCGAGCGCCGCCCCGGCGGCCTTGGGAGCCTCGTCGTTGCGGAGGGCGGCCGCGGGGATCGGGGCGCCGGCCTCCGCTTCCGCGTCGCGCTCTCCTCCTCCTCTGTTCGTGCTCTCTTGCTTGCTTTCTTTCCACAGGGCTATGGGCAAGAGGGTTGCCCCCCTTGCCCTCTTGCTTGCTCTCTCTCTCTCTCTCTCGCTCTTTTTTTTGTTTTGGGGGGGCGTTCCGCAAGGCGCGTTCGGCGGCCTTCACCAAGAGCACATCGTGGGAGACCTTCGCCGGAATCTGGTGTGAAGCACGCGGAGCACGGCTCACCACTTCGAGGCGGAAGCATGATCACAGGCCGACCGCAGGGCCACCTGAAACTCCTGCTGCTTGGATGGATGCTTGCAATTATCGGGAACCGAACGAAGCATTGCCCATGACTGGGCTGTGCCTTTCCTACAAGGCTCCTCCTTGGAAAGGAGTTGCATCGCATACTGGTTCAGGTCCGGCCTCAAGGGAAGATGATTCCCGAACCTTGCTAGAACACATTACAGTATCTAAGTTGAACCCTCCAGACGTACTGGCTGCACGTCCCGTTTCAGTTTCCCTCGGTATTTGCGGTGCTTCCTTAGGGTCACATGCCGAATGCGCCGGCGTTTGCAGTATTTTCGGCACTTGGTAAAACCCAAATCGCGCACATGCCGCAAGAGAGCATCCATGCCGGAACCGTAATAACGTGCACCCCGACCCCATCCGTTCAAGCAGAGCATCCATGCCGGATGCTGGAACCGCAATATCGTCCACCCCGACCCGATCCGGTCATGCAGAGCATCCATGCCGGAACCATAATAACGTCCACTCCGACCCCATCCGTTCACGCAGGGCATCCGCAACAACGTCCACCCCGACCCCATCCGTTCGCGCAGAGCATCCATGCCGGAACCGTAATAACGTCCGCTGCGGTGTGAAGCTTGATTCACAATGGTTGCTTTGACAGACCAAAACGTGGAAAGCGCAGCGAATTTGCAAAAAAATGTGCAACTTTTGAGCGTCGTGCAAGCCACGAATCCCTCGGCAGGGCCAACGTTTTCAGCAGTCCTTCTTGACTTGGCGCGCGCAACCAATCGTCTGGCGCGAAGTTGTAAGTATACACATTACTATGTACTTTTACTTCTATCATTCTTCTCCCGCTCGGCTCCAGGCCGAACGATAGGGACCTCGACTGTGATCGCCTGCCAAGGTTGACACGAACCCGCCTAAATCTCTACAGCGACTCCACCGTGATCGGCGAAACTTGCATTTGCTCCCTCACATGCCTCACCCCGTGAGCCAGAAGCTAGCTTCTCAGTCGCAGTCGAGGCCGAGGCACTCAATCCTCTTGACTGCCGTTCCCCATGACCCGAGGCTTCCAACAGCCTCAACCCAGAGCAACATCGCCAGCAGCATGCGCTGCTCGGGAAGCTCCCTCGGAGGAAAAGCGGAAGCGACAGCCAGCAGAGGGTCCAGAATGGTCCAGGTGTTTCGGTTCTGAGCATGCCAGCCCAAAGAAACAGCCATCTCCCTGCTTCCACTATGATACTTCCTAATGCTCAATACCCCGACGGCAGACATCGAGACACCTCAGCAATGCCAGGGTCCCTGCCGGCCGATCCAGAGCTTCAAGACCTGAAATACGACGATCGTCCGAAGGGAAGGACTTGGCTTTACCAAAGCCTTGAAGGCTGAAGAGACGCATCCCTACCCTCAAACCAGTCCAAGCACTACCGAAGCAAAAGCAGCAGGTGGTGGGCCTCAAGCAAGACCTCGCTAGGGAAGTCTTCCAGCTCGGTGTTCCTCACTCACATTCTGGAGGTGCAACAGCCCCGCTACGGCTCAGATAGGACTTTTATGGTGAACAAGAAAACCCTGAACCAACGAGAAACCTTTAGCAAAAACGAAGAAACACCAAGACCCAGTAAGTCTCGTCACGACCCGCAACAACGAACGCAAAAGAAATGAGCTGTCACAAACACACCTTCTTGCCACTGGAAGGCTACATAGGTGGCTTGGAAAGAAAACATGTTAAGCTGATAAGCATTATCCTTTTCGCAACCAGCAGAAACTCACAAAAAATCTGCTAGGCCCCTTCAATACCTCACTGGGGTCCCGGCTCTTCCGCCTTTGTATCTTTTTTGGCGGCTCGGCTGCGAATCTTCTGCCTAAGCACCAATGTCCTACGACTTTCCAATTTATTCACAACTCGTGCTGTTGAAACATGAGCCACCATTATCAGTCTAGAGACACTTCAGGGCGCAACTGAGACAGTGACTGCGACCCGGGCTGCGACGAAAGGAAAAATTGGTATCGTGATGCTGAAAAGGAAGATGATGACAGTCATGATAATGAAGATCCGAGCTGCCAGTACGCGCCTGGTTTCTGTGGCTACCTTTTTGGCTTTCCATGGGTTGATGTTCGCATTTGTCTAGCACCGGGAATGTCCGAGACAACACTTCGGTTACACAGCCTGGAGCAAAAAGAACTCCAGCATCAAGTTGCCCTGGCGAACTCCTGCTTTCGAGAGGGTGGCAGAAGTGCGTTTGGCCCCGAAAGTCTTCGCGATGCCAGCCTCCCCCATTCTTCGGTTGAAGGGCAGGCTTTTCGCAGTTCCGGCCCCGTAGTTGCGAATCTCCACGACTACAAAACAGCCCCAGAAGAGGAAGTTAGCCAAGGCGCACGAGCCGCTGAGCAGCCACGGCCTCCTTTGAGTTGCACTCCCAGGCACCTTATCTTCGGGGCTTGACTTTGGAGTTTGGCTGGTTTCTTCGGCCTGCTATGGGGCAGTCTAGTACCACCTTCATCCTGGACCTGCACTCCTATGCGCTTCGCAGATCTGACCCAGCAGAATTGGAGAATCACGCGCATCGTCACGCCCAACAATCGCCTCCTGAGGTGGTTTCTACAAGCACCGCCCATTGAAGGCCCTCCACTCTCAGGATTTACACATGCAGACCTACTTCTGCGTTTCCTTCAAGATCTGCACAGGCTCTTGAACCATGCTTGCCAGAGCTCGGGATCCGGCTCCACGACTCGTCGGGCACCCAGAAATCTTTGGAAATTTCCTTCTCCTATTCCGAGAACCGAGGATAGTTGAGGCTACTGGCGCAGCATCAAAGAGGCGAGGACCTCAAATTCAGGCTTTCCAACACTCCCCGGGTGAAACCTGCGAGATCTCAGGAGACCCCGGCTCCAGGCTTGGGCCCCTTGAGCACCTGAAAACTACAAGAAACTTTGAAGAACTCTATAACAGTCTATCCGTCTATCTGTCTGCTGCTGTGTATAAATATATGTGTACTGATATATCTATATATATATATATACAAAGGTATATATTAAAAACACACACAATATGTCTCAGCAATGTATATACGTGAAAATGCTAAAACTTGCGCTATATGCTTATGATATGTTGGTCCCTGACTGTCCTAGACTCCCACGCCACCGCGTCGCTCCCCTGATGCGCCTGCTGCGTCTCGTACAATTCCGCGCCCCATTCTTCATCCTCCTGTGCCTCCTGCGGAGCATCGGGGCGAGCCATGAAGCTGAAGCGAAGTCCAGGCGCAAGCCTCCTCTTCGGGCTGCTCCTTCTTCTGCCACTTCCTTGGGGCAGAAAATCCGATCTGAGGGAAACGAGTCTTGTCCGCTGGTAATCGGTGCCAGCGGGTTCCTAAAGCCTTGCTTCGTGCGAGGTCGGCCGAGCCCACGACTCCTTGTGAAAGTCAGCGGCCGCTTTCTGGGCGTGGAGTTCACGCTCTTTGGGGCGGGGCCATGGGCGTTGGGTGCTTGGGGGCTTTCGGGCTCGTGGCAGGCGCTCTGCCGGCTCGCCTACACCAGACTCAAGAATTCCATTATCCATGATCCCCATGATCCAGTGAATCCAGTGTCCTGCACGGCCGTTGGCTGATTGGGGCACTGAGGCTGCGGCCACATTCTTCTCGATCTCTTCTAAGATGTTCGAGGTCTGCTTGGCGTCGACACCTGCCCCGTTGCGCCAAATGGCAGTACAGATTCTAGCAGTTCTAGCAACACTCCCATCGCTCCTGTCCCTACGGAGGCCTGACTGCTTCCATATGTAGCCCCAGTCGTCGTCAGAGTCCTCCTGGCAGACAGGACGGGTCTTCTCTGCCTCTGCTTCACATTCCACTACGTCGAATGCGAATGCGACCGTCCGTACCGTCCTTGTCGTCCACAGCATGCACAACTGGCTCCTGCAATCGCTTCGAGACCAACTTTCAAGATTCAAAACTAAGCTCAGGCGGCTTTTAGACTAGCACTGCATCCTAGCCCTTGCAGAGGACACATTGACCATGAAAGTCCGCAAGAAAGGAGCGGAAGTCTCCCTCGGCTTGGAGGCGTCGTCAGCCGCTGGCCAGGCCAAGGGCAAATTCAAGGGTGCCTTCGAGTCGGATTCAGCTTAATCTTGGTGACTCTGCTCATGCCGACGCTGCATCCGTCCTGTCCGCATATGTTCGTGCGCTCGGCCGGACCATCATGACAAATCATCAAGATTATCTTGACCACCAACCCCCACCACCACCATCACCCCCCCCGTTCACTCTGAAGTCATCAGGGATGCTCACAATGCTAGCATGGTGGCAAGCACTGCTGCGCCCCATGGCGGGGCCGCTATCGGGCCATCAGTGAAACGCACCTGCACATTAGGTCCACCTACCGCTTCATCATTGTCATTGCTAGCTCTTGATCAATGCATTTGCAAACATCACCATTGTCACCACGGTCGCAAGTCCTGCCACGCATTTCATCGAAAGACTACGACACACAACTGCTCATTCGAAAAACCTCATCCGTGGTGACTGAAACAAGTCCCAGTGCCCTCAGGGCGAACAATTCCATTTGTACGGCAACCAATGCCGATGTTTGCTTGATTGGAGGTCCCATGTTCCTACTTTTCGCAGTATTCGCTTTGATGTCCAAAGAGCCACCCGGTTCTGAGGACTCTCAGGACTCTCAATACTGCCATTGTTCTCACAATGCTCTTGTGTCTATAACCACGGTCCAAGGTCATTGTGGCTTCTAACTTGCATTGTCCGCATTGACAATCATGCCGCTAATGCCACTGCTCCTGGCACCATTAGCTTACCTTGATCCTAACCCTGGTGTCCTCCGTGCTTCTACTTCACCTTCCGATGATTGATTGCCGTTCTTGTCACATCACCATCCCTTCTGTGCAACTGCTGTTCCTGTCAGAACCAGCAATCTCTCTCATCAGCACCACGAGCACCATCACTCTTCGGCTAAGCTTGCCAGTACTATCGCTGTGACTGCTACTATAATTTGCTATAGCTCGATGATTACGCTTGAAACCTGACAACTCCACATGCTTGAATTCTTCCCCTTCTTGCTTGCCATGCGCTCTCGATCTGATGAATTCTGTAGAACTCTGCACATGAAGGGCAATCTGCAGATTCAGAGGCCTGAAGCTCGTTCTCCAATTGTTGCCACACATCACCTCGCGGGAGCAAAATGCTGCGATTGCCAAGTGCGAAAGCGAGTAATCCACAAGCCCCGGAGCTGGGTCTTCAACCCTCTCCATCGCCATCTTCCGTCAAGTCGACGCCAGCCTCCGCGAATGCTCGCAAAAGAGTCCGCCAGAAACGCGCATTAGCAGAATGGGCAACGGAATCAGTGGTAGCCATGGCAGCACTTACAGTACATCTGCTCAAGGGTGAAGACAAAGGCAGAGAACCGTGCACTGGGTTGTTGACTGGCAGCAATATCTAGATTCCACAAGTCACACTTGACGAGTCAACGCATCCATCAGAGGATCCTTTTCAACACACACGCCAGTCTGGGGATCAAGGCCTTTGAAAGGAAAACACCACGGATGTCACTTGTGAGAGCACTCGGAGCAGGAAACTTCCAGGACTACAATCTAGGATTCACAGGGTTATTGGATTCGCAAACAGCGGGAATTCGTGCACTGAAAAAAGCGCCAGATTCGGGATTCGCGCTGACCGTGCAAATGTACCGCGGTTTCACGCGGGGCTTTAGGGATTGAAGGCTTCCAGCTATTAGGGGCTGTACGCGCACGAACGAACTAACGAAGCAACGAACGAACCAATGAACCAACCAACAGGGACAAGCAAGTCCCCGACGAGGCGGGCGAAGGGGGGAAGCCTAAATCCTGGAAGGAAAAAGTGCAATCGAAGGGGATGGCTACCACGGACGACATGATCTGACACGGAAGAAAAAGCGCAGCTTGGGCTAGGAAGTTCGGGGGCACCGTCGTTTTTTGGGGCTTCGGTGTGCGCCTCTTCTCTGGAGCGCTTCAAAGAAGCTGCGGGCTCTGCCTGCAGTCGTGTACAGGTTCTTAAACGGTCTGCTAAAAGAGCCTATTACTAGGGCTATTAAACGGGTTACTGTAAGCGTTGCTGCGAAAACGTCCCGTGCGGCTATTCAGGATTCGCGACGAGCGTGCAGCCTTGGACGTTACCAGGTTCAGGACTGGCATGTCGTCCTCATCCTGCAAGCCAGTGCGGCGGCAAATCGCGGATCTACTGAAATTGACTTGCAACGCTTGAGAGCTACTGTCCGTAGCCGCGAGCACAGCCCTCGCGCCTCAAACCTTGGCAGCTCTTCGTCAATGTGGCCCTATCGGAACACGGGACAAGGAGTAAGAACACAAAGGACACAACATGACACATCCCAGCGCCTGCCCCTCCGCAGCCTCGCTGGCTTGGGGCTGGCCCTGTCAGGGTCGGAGCTCGCTATACCCTCTAAGTCTTACTCCTGGTATCCGTATCCCGGCGTCTCTTCCCCCGACACTGCGCCTCGTCTGGAGCCTCTGTCTCCAGCGCGAGGTCCTGCAGACTGCCGTTCGCTTGTCGTGCCAAGCGTAGACTGAAGCTATGGCCTCCTCGTCGAGAGGCTCGGGCGCCGGCTTCCGGGGGCTCCCCTCAAGACGGCTTTCGGCTTTCGCACCAGAAAGCAAACTGGAAACAACAGAAACGGCACCATCTCAGCTTTTCTTGCTTCGCAGTCTGTCATCCTTTGCAATCAAGAAAAAGGCCCGCTTCTTCGAGTCTGTCTTGTTCCACACGCTCCTGTAGCAGCTCTGTGAGGAGGCCGAGCAACTCCGCCCTGGGAATCGTGCACATCAGGACGCGCTGCAGCTTGTCCGGCTTCGCGTGGCCAAGGGCGGTTGCACAAAGTTGGGTGTCCCGAACTGCCCCATGTCGGGGCGGGCACATCGACCACGGTTGCATTCTGCCCTTGCCGGAGAGTGCAAAGATGGCGATGTGCGCATGCTCAGCTACCTCCCAGATCGCAACGGCTCAGGGGAAAGGCTCCGGGTCCTGGAGCGGACTCCACGCTCCTCAGTCCCGTCTGTCACATCAAGAAAGGTGAAACGATATGCGACGCGAGTGCGATGCGTTTCGGCCATGGCTAAGGCTGCGCTGGAAGCGGCAAACTATCAGTGCTTGAGCAGCGCTCATCAAACACAAGCTTGGTGAAGAGGCCATGCCGCCAGGGGTTTCGAAGGAATGCCAGGCTTCCAAGCAATCGTTTCCAAAGAACCACGCATGACCACAAAAACGAAGTGGCAAACTCGTCAACTATTCAACGGGCTGCAACGCACGCTGCCCCAAACTTTGAAAAAAACCCAAGGCCCTGAAGCCCAGCAGAAACCAAACCCCGGCCTTGGCCTTGCCTTTGGCCTTGACTTTCGCCTTGGCCTTGGCCTTCGCCCGCCTTGCTGAGAACGTGGGCTTTGATACTGCTACACTCCATTCATACCCGGTATGTATATATATATATATATGTATATATATATATATGTATATTGCTGGAAAAGCGGTGGTATGCTTAAAACAAGTTTTAGAGATCCAGGGGTTTTCGTACATATGAGTGGGGCGTGTGCTGGTGCAGGACCTGGGGTCTGGTAGGGCGTGGGCTGGTGCAGGACCTGGGGCTAGACATCCAGGGGTATATGTACATATGGGCTGGGGCTTGGGCTGGGGCAGGACCTGGATCTGGAAGCTTGTCAAGACCAGCTCAAGAAACCAGAAAATAGCAATGGACTTGTGATATGAGTAGCAGCATCATGTCAATTATTAGCTCTGGTCAGAATGCAGCGTGCCGGGTGTTTGTCAGTAGCTTCCCTTTACTGATTCATGAGTCATTTTGAGTCATAGTTAATAATTTCCAGCTCCTGACTCCTAAGTTCCAGCCACACGACAATTCTGTATCAGTCCGTATGTGACCATGTCAATCGCAAACATCTATCGGCGGCATGCGGCTAGCCTGGCTAGCCTCGAGCCGGAGAACGAACCGAAGCTCGGCAAAACTTATTGGGAGAAGCTGGGCAAACCTCAATTCAATTTTTTCAACATAGAATAGGATTCGGGCCCTAAATCCGAAACCCTTTCAGTTCACACCTCCCATATACATACACACATACCTACCTACCTACCCACCTAGCTACGTACATACATACATACATACATACATACATACATATGTATCTATCTATCTATCTATCTATCTATCTGTCTGTCTGTCTGTCTGTCTGCCTGTCTGTCTATATATTTTTTCATCTATCTACCTATCTATGTGTCTATCTTTCTTTCTAATTCCTTCTATTCTATCATATGCGATTCTATTCTCTTCCAGTCTATTGTTTCATACGATACAATAGTTCAGTGTATTGTATTACAGTATGTTACAGTATTTGATGCTTTTTCATATTGCTTTTATAATATTCTTTTATATTATGCCATATTATACCATATTCTACTATACAGATGTAAACAAATCAACATATACATGCATGCATATAGATATAAATATATAAATATAAAGAAATAAATATAAACATAAATATAAATATATATATATATAGACATAGACATAGACATAGATATAGATATAGATATAGACATATATGTTTGTATGTCCCTGGCCAGGGAGCAGACTTCTTTGGCGCCATGCGAGCTGAGAGGGTTGAAGCTAGGCTAGGCTCATGCCGATCTGTTCTGAGTCTGACTGTCGGGTTGTCGGGCATCGTCTGGCTTAAAGGCGTGGGGTTGGGGTTCAGGGCTCCGGAGCTCCGGGTCAGCTGCACTCAAGAAATCGTGGTTAGGGCTTCGAGGCAGGTGGGGCCGTACATCTGCACTGCATCGATGGTCGGTCTGGTGGCTTGCGTAAAGCTGCGGGGCATGACCCTATAAACATCTGCGATTTGAGCATCTTCGATGGCCCGCAGCCATACGAGTCGTGGCTGCCGGTGTTCGGAGCCAAGTCGGCTGCAGGAGATGCAGACGAGCCTTGGCCTGTTCTGTCCTTGCAGTATGCCTGGACTGTCGACAGTATGTGGTGCCCTCAAAGCTCGAAGGCTTGGAGATGAGACTGGGGGAAGCTTGACCGGATCCAGCAAACGCAGGGACGGCGGGTTCGCCGGCTTCTGGACCTGGCGAGTTCAAGACAAGCGAAACATCATGAGAGGGGCAGCCTTAGACAGTCTCAAAAAGACGTGCCGCATGGACTTCAACCCAGCGCCTTCTTCGATCTTCTTCCTCTGGCTGCCGTCAGGTTGATGCTTCATGCTGCATTCCGAGCCGCCTGCTTCCACCCTGCATGTCTAAGATCCATGCACGCTTGGACTTCTGCAGCACCTGCACGGCAGAAGCGAGATGTTCATGAAAGCTGACAATTTCGGGGTGACAGCTTCATCCGGGCCTTGGTAGACACACTTACCTGCGCAGGAAGTCCCAAGCGTGGTTCGTCCTTAGCGGCCAATGTGTTGCCGGCATAATCCAAAGGCATCACGATTCGAGTGCGGAACACACTCAACATTCAACATGCTCAGACAGCGGCGGGCTGTTTCACCCTCACTTCGGCCTGCTCAAGATGTGAAACAGAAAGTTGCTGCCGCATGTTTTGCTTCACCGCCCGATACCTGGAGCTTCCCAGAGAAGCCCAGGAAGATGAGGGTGGAAGGCCCTCGAACACCACTGAGCACTGCCTGGGAAAGCTGGTAATCCGTGTGCCGTATTAGTAGATACTCCTATATTTGCAGGTGTTTTTTTCAGAAATCCTGATTTTGAAAACCCCCTAGACTAAAGAGAAAAATTTCGTCACTTAACCATGAGTCGGCGACGGGAGCTAGGAGCCTAAATCAATAGGCTTAGTAGAGGCTCAAAACTTACTATTTTACTGCAACTAGAAGTTTCGTGGAAGCTCGAAACTTAGAATTTTACTGAAGTTAGAGGCTTAGCAGAGGCTTAAAACTTATTACTTTACCGCCATTTCGAGCTTAGTGGAGGCTTAAAATTTACTACTTTACTGCAATTTGGAGGCTTCGAAGAAGCTCAAAATTTACCCTTTTGCTGACGATTAGAAGCTTAAGTGGAGGCTTAAAACTTACTGCTATACGGCAATTAGAGGCTTAGTAGAGGCTTAAAACTTACTGCTTTGCTGCAATTCGAGGCTCAGCAGAGGTTAAATACTTACTAGTTTATTGCAATTGGACACTTAGTAGGCGCTTAAAACTCACTACTTTACTGCAATTATAGGCTTAGTAGAGGCTTAAAAAAAAGTACTGCTTTACGGCAAGCCGAGGCTTAGTAGAGGCTTAAAACTTACTACATTACTGCTATCAAGGGCTCAGTAAAGGCTGAAAACGTACTAGTTTACTGCAATTAGAAACTGCAAATAGAGGCTTACTAGAGGTTTAAAACGCACTACTTTAATGGAATTAGAAGTTTAATGGATGCTTAAAGTTTACTGACTACCGCAGTTAGAAGCTTAATAAAAACTTACAACTTACTACTGCACTAAACACGCCCTGTCCGTACAGGCCTACGACAGGCCTGTTGACACAGAGCCTGTGCTTGCCTCTGTCATAGACAGGGGTGGATAGGGCCTACGGACAGGGCTTAGGACAAAGAGCGGACAGGGCCTCGGATAGGGCCTGTGACAGGGGTGGATGGAGCCTACGGACAAGGCCAAGGCCAAGGACGGGTCGGACAGCACGGGGCCTACACAGGGGTCGGACAGGTGAAGGGTAGGCTGTCTTCGAGGGTTCTTTATGCTGGATTGTTCCTCCACAGTATAGGAAATGAATTTCGGGGGCCTAGCTCGGGCCTGAAGTCTTTGACTTTTAGGGCTTGACTGCAGCCTTCGAGTCTGGCCAGAAAACTCAGATCGCTGCCCGGTCCCGGAGCATCGATTTCTTATCAATCCGCTTCTTCAAGGAAACCCAACATCATTCCATCCTGAGCTACCCCTTACGGCTGGTCTCCGGAGCAGCTTCCTTTGGATTTATGAATTCCTCCACATGTAAAGGAAATGATTTTGAAGCCCTGGTTCGGGCCTGAAGTCTGTGGCTTTGGGGCTTGAGCTGCAGCTTTCGAGCATGGCCTGAAAACTGAGACCGAGGCCTAGTCCCCCAAGCATCGATTCCGTATCAATCCGTTTCTTCAAAGAAGCCCAAAATCGTTCCATCCTGAA